ATTCAACTATTGAGTTCTAGAGCAGTGAACTCTGAATAAAAGCAAGCCTAGATACTACATTGTTAATTTTCATGTTAAGACCATGTTTCCTTTAGAAACTCTTTTTATTTCACGCGAAATAGAAATTTCCAGAAACTGTGTTTTCTTTCTCTGCTATTTTTTCCCTTCTGTTTCCCCTCTAAGAGATCCTTACCTTTTGTCACTTGCATGTTATATCTTGAAAGTGTCAGCCTCATTAAATTAATGTCTGATGTAATATTGACATCTTCACGGAATACAATCCTTTTTCATAAAGTGATTTTCCCTGATATATAAAGGATGCTCCCACAGATGCCAAAATACTTTTATTTTTTTTTAGCCATTTTAACAATTCGTTTCAATAAAATCTGTACAAGACATTGAGCCAGACACTGTGGGAGTCATAAAGATAAACAGACGTATTTCCTCAGGAACCTGCAGTCTTGAAAAAGAGGCCACATCAGATTATTCTCTTGTGGGGCATAGTGTGAAAAATGACTGTAAAGAGGCGCAGAGAGGTGCTGTGAATGCACCAAAGAAGGAGAGATTACTTCTGGATTGATAGACAGGGAGAACTTCCTGGAAACAAAAAGTCTTGATAAAGAGTGGGGAAAGTCTGGCAAAATCAATGGCAGGAACAGGTATTCAGGGTAGCAAGGAACTACACGCAAAGCTGCTAGGGCAGGGATGCAGGGTGCACTTGGGGGTCGCAGTTGGAGATGGAGATGAGGCAGGAAAGGAGGTCGGGTCCCCACTGTCAGCATGATAAACACCATGGTCAGGAGGTTAGACTTTATTCTGGGATAATGGACAAGCATTGTCTCACTCAAGGCTTTGGAACGAAGGAAATGACATGATCAGAGTAAAATTCAATGCAATTCAGCAAAATGTATTGAGTAGCTACAATGCACCCAGCCCTGTACTTAGTGTAGTGCATTCAGAGACACATTCTTAGTGCTGCCTTCAATGTCCCTGGAGTCTAGTGGGGGGATGGATATACAAACAGATAATGTCAACAAAGTATAGTATATTGAACTCTGTTAAACAAGCGGGAGGCCACTGGCCTGAGGTTCTCTCCCTATTTTGAGTTCCTACTTAACAAACTGAAACCTAACTTAGGAGTATATTTTTTGTAACAGATAGTTGGGTTTCAGCCAATCACTAACAGCTGAGCTTCAGCCAATCACAGGCACCCAACTGATCCAACCACACCCAAATAAGGCAAATACCTAACTTAGGTAGCCAACAGATAATGTCTTTACTTTGCTTCTGTGTTTCGCCTATAAAAGCTTGCTACTCATGCTGCTGGATGGAGCTCTCTCAACCTCTTCTGGTTCTGATTTCTACCCAATTCAGGCATCATTCTTTGCTCAAATGAACTCTGTTAAATTTAATTTGCCTAAAATGTTTATTTTAACACTCAAATAGATGTATCTAAAGGAGGCTGTGAGGACCCACAGAAAGTAATCTGGGGACTAAGGGAGAAGTTGGTGCCTAACTTGAGTCTTGCAAGGACAGAAAAGAGTTACTTGAATGAAGAGAAGAGAGAAGGATATTCCAGTTTAAGAGTATACTGTGAGAAAAATCACAGAACATCAAATAATACTGGATGTGTAAAGAAAGACAGCAGCTCCATTCTACTAGTAGGCTCAGTGTAAGACAGAGAGGGGAGTGAGGGAGAAGAGAAGATGAGGGGGCAGGGACTACGCTTTGGAAACTTCACTCAGGATGGAGGCACAGAAACCAGAAGACTATTATAGAGGTCAAGTCCCACAGGTGTTACATTAAGGAGGCACACCTCAAACAGAAATTTCAGATTTTTCATGGGACTCTCACTTAAAGGGGTTCGAGTATATATTTTGCCAGGCAACTCTTATTAATACTTCAAATTATTTCCTAATCTTCAGCATCCTCAGAACTCTCATCTCTTATTCCAGAAGAACCCTCACCCCATCTTCAGTGTTCCATTCCTACCACCCTGGTTTTTTAATCCCCTTTCTCTTCTCTGCCCCTCCAGCAGATCACATTCACCCTGTGAGTGATATACTTTTGCTCTGTTTAGTTTTCTGCACCCACTCCAAATCTCTACACACAGATTTTTATCCTCTCTCTTCTCTGCCAATAGGGCTTGATGGCGTCAGAGCAAGTGGACTACTTTGCAACAGGGAGTGAGGTTGTGGGAGGCTCTGAATTCACTCACAAATGTTAACAATTTGGGGACAGTTACAATAATTAAAATATAAGACGATCAGAAAGAGCTAGAGAAGTGGCAGTATAATGGAATAGAAGACATGAAAGTGAGATAACTTGTACAAACATACTCAGGGCCTGACAACTAACCAAAGTAGGACAGAGGCAGAGAGAGGTAGGATTTTAAAACTGCTTTGTAGTTTGAATCTAGAAAAAAAACCAGTAGTGTGATATTATCCACCATGGCTGGGGGATACGAATAGAGAAACGTATTTAAGAGATAATAACAGAAGATGATAAACTTGGCTTTGTATATGCTTAGCCTGAGGTGTCAGGAAGATATTCAGGTCGTGTTTAAGAACTAGAGTACTTCAATCTGATGCCATATACCAGCCATCTCTAAACCTGGATGTTACAAATCACCATTCATAATCAAACTCTTCTGGAAAAATGACCGACAACAGCCTGTTCTTGGAGATTGTTTGTACATGGATAACTCTTGCAGGAAATAAACCCATTTAACTCTGCTTCCAACACTCTTTCCTAACTTTTGTTGTTTATTATTTTTTTTTTCAGAATACCTCTTAGTATCCTATGGAATGTTTTTTTCAGGGACAATGTTCTGAGAAATGCTCATTAAAACGCTACGGATCTCTAATCAGGGGAGGCTTAAGATAGAAGGAACTTGCTGTGGGAGAAGGCAGTTTGTTTGCATGGGAGTGAGAGTTGAAGCATTATGAACTGCTGAATCACCAAAAGTGAACAGAAAGAGAAAAGGAGGTTGGAGATAGAGCCTTGATAAACACCATTTGATACCTCAAATGGCACATAGAGAATATAATTTGGAGAGACAGCATGTTGTAATAGCAAAATCATGGGTTTCAGAGTGTGATGAGTGATCTAATCTTTTTAAGATTCCATTTTCTTTCTGAAAATTAATGACTACCTTGTTGGCTTGTGTTGAGATTTAAAATAGATACGTGAAATATCTTCCACATAGAAAATACATAATCCACTTTCAATAAATACTATTGTTAATACTGTTTTCATTTAAGTTTTTCTTGACATATTGAAGCAAAACCTTGATGAATACACTGCTATATTGAAACCTGAATGTTGGACAATTACATATGAGAACTCTCAGTCATTGGTATCAATACCCTAATACAGGGAAGCAATCCTAGTTCAGACAAGCCTCAAGCAGTAACAGCATGGTATGGGAATAGCAACCATAGTAACTAGGCAATGAAAGGAGACACCATAGGAATTTCCCTAAAGCACCAGGAGCTATGATTTTTTCATCTGTTTTTCACAAAGAGATGCTGGAAGCTAATATCTGAGCCTTAGTGAATACATTTGCCCTCCATATAAAATCCTGAGCTAAAAGTCCCTTCCATGTGAATGACTGTGGGTATCAAATTGTCATGACGGAACATCCTCTGACAATAGTCATTATCTGGCACCCTCAGGGGGAGACCAGGGGAAAGGCATCTGCAACAAAATACTGGTTAATGAGACATATTTCTGTCTAAATATGTCACAGTGCTACAAATGCAAGCCTTAGTCATTTTCAATATTGGACAATTGAGCATACAAGCCCAAAAAAGATTCTGAATTTAGAGTTAAAAGCTCTGCTAACTGCCACAGCAGATTAGCTTTTCTCTTCTCCAGCCCAAAAATGGGGACAATTACCAATATTTTACCCAAGTCAGTTCATTCCAAACCCCAAAGGAATTGTCACCAGAATGTATTATCTTGCAGTCTTTTGGAGGGCAACCTCATAGGTCTCAGGTCTGTCTGAGGAGCCTGGTGTAGTTAAGATTGGTCATTAACGTGATTGGTCAGCGTCTTTAATCAAGAAATCATTCCATAGCAGCCAAGATGTGGATGAAAAAGATGTCCAAAAGCATGGCGATCAAGTCTTTGAGGAGATGTCTAAGGCATTTATTGTTCAGATCCTTGGGAAGGAATAGTGGCAGGGTGACAGATTTATGGTCACAGACACACAGGGCATGGTGGCAGGAGATGCTCACATGTTGTTCTCTGAGCAAACATAGGCTAGTGTGTAAATGAAATTTGCTGTAGAAATTCATGGAGTCTGTCTCAGGCGAGTACTTGCAGGAGAAAATGGGCAACTATGCACTCTGATTGGTTTATATAGTCACTTGCCTAAAATCACAAGGCTGGGGCAGAGTGAATATATATATTTATACATAAACAAAATATGTATTATAATATATATTAAATATATGTAATATATATATGTATGTATAAAAAACAATGTTACTTAACGTGTGTCCTGCATTGTCTGAATCTAGAATCATCCAAAAGTGCAAATTCCCAGGCCCCACCCTAGGCGTGCAGGAAACAGAATCTGAGTAATTTGTTTTAAGAAGCTATCAGGTGATTCTTACATACAGTAAAGTTTAAGAAGCACTTCTCTAGACCTTTATCTCATGGGTCAATAATTACCACATCTCTCCACTTCTACCTACTCACCCAACTAGGCTGGCTTCTTCATCTTTCTGCCCTGCAGTTCTCTTCTCATGATAGCACCTGATTAGGCCATCTGATTATATATAAGAGCTCAGTTTGGAATTTTTGTCATCCACAAAAATCAGAATTTTAGGCATGAAAAGAAGCTGTGTAGACTCAGTAGAACTACTCATTTTTAGCCTTGTGATTTGGTTTGCACCAGGCAAAACTCATTTATAACTTCTTTCCAGTTTCTGTTCATTTCCAAGCTTACAATGACGTAAATAAAGGGATGAAAAAAGGAGGCAAACACTTACCTGGGCTGTAAGTTGCTCCTGGGAAGCTTTTACTTCAGCTTGCAATTTCTGGATGCACTGAAAAGGAGACAAGTTTAGAAACTAAGTGTGTAACTCTTTCTTTTACATACTCAACCTATTGCAGACATAAATGTGTATCAGTTTTCAAATCTTGTGAATGGCAGCATTATTTCAGCTACAGGTTTTGAAAATCGTCATTAGAGAAATCATCCCACCATCCCTATTTCTCTTCTATTTTATGAAAGAGCCCAAAATAAAAACACACAAATATATTAAGAACTAGGATATGCCTGAGTAAGATAATGTTAGCTTGACATGCTACGGTTAATGCAAATGCCCCTATATCATATATATGTATATCATATATATTGCATATATATATATATATATATATGCCTTCACATGAGAGCATATTCATATATTCCAAGAGCAGATGCAAACCCTTTGGACTTAACAAGAGCTAAATTTATATAATGATATATATTTTAACACTCAGATATTCAGAGATTAATCATTTTTTATAAAGTAATTGATTAAGAAACATATGCCAAATGTTATGATCCTCTTGTTTTCCTGCACAGAAAGAAACACTCCAACGTTGACAACTGAGAGACATTTGTGCAGTCAATACCATTTATAAAATAAATAGAATATTCAGCTAATATTATTCAAAAGGATACATATCAAACAAACTTTAAAACTACTACTAGCAAAATAAATTTTATGTCAATATTCATCAGGGAATAAAATTACTTTTAGCAAATACAAATATTGTTATTTACCATTGTGAACTTAAAAATATGAACTTTTAATCCAGACTGAAATGGTTTTCCAGGATTATCAGTTCATATAAAATTAGGTAACTATTAAAATAAAGATGACGTTGTTCTACAACATACCTGGTTTTTCACAAGAACCATTTTTTCATATGATTCCCCACTGGCTTCCTTGTGGTCCACAGCCTCCAGTTTTTCCTCCAGCCGGGATACTTGTTCAAGCAGTTTTGACTTTGTTCCTTCAGAGACTGAAAGCTAAAGATATTTTCTTTATAAGAGTATGTAAGTACAGTGATGTTTTAAAAATTCAACTTAGAAATAATTTATTTTCCACCAGTATCTATTAAATATGAAAACAGCTTCTGGAGCATTCCTCATAAATGATAAATTAGCATAGAGAAAGAAGGAAAAAATTGATTTTTTTTATTGTTTATAACTAAGATCTTTCTGAACAAGAGATGAAATCACCGAGTTACAACGGAGAATATAGAAATACTAGAAATAGAGAAATTTCTAGTGCAAAGATCTCAACACTCATCTTCACTGGGTTTCACTTTATTTGTACAGCTGAATTTGAAACTTGTATTGTGATTTATATATGGTCCTTGAAACTTAACTCTTAGGCGGCTACAGCTATCTAGAAAGAGTGGGAGTTCTGACTCTCCTGAATGTTCGCCACAGAAGCGGCAGGGTGCATGGAACTGGGGTATATGCAGGAATTTCAAGTTAAAGTCTGATCAAAGGCAGATCTATGCTAAGCCACAACCAAAAAATTCCTAGCAATGACTTTGTCTTTGTTTGACTGTTTGTAGATTCCTCTTGAGGAAAGTGGTAGTTTGATAGTCCTTAGTCTCTAATTCCCTTGGAGAGCGCCTGTACTAGCTTCTCCTTTCATTCTGACAGCTATTGTGCTTTTTCTCTACAGTTCAGCAACAATCCTGAAAGACTCCCTGGAAACGGACACACAAGTCTGTATTCACGGCAACTCAACTCCCAGGGTACTCTCTGAAGCATGGATTACTCTACATTTCTTTTGCATTACTCTGAATGTTGTTGCAAGGCAAGTTGTCTCATCTTGAAAAAACTTAATTGTCCTTAGATTTTTAAAGACAATGTATCAAATGTGGAAGCATGAAGAATTCAGTCTGCCAAGGAAATAAGCATGTTCTCTATACTGGCCCATCATACATACTGGCGTTATCATATATACTGTGAGCACATCATACACACCGGCACCAAACTATCCAGCCACACACTCATTCACCGGACAAATGTTTATTCAGTTGCCTCCTCCACAGCCATTGTGTTACGTGCCGCAGATTGAGAAAGTGCAAAATAAGGGTTAGAGGGAACACACATGTTACAAACTGCTGGTCATGCCTTTTGGCTCGTGGTGGCCTTGGAGACCAGAGGTGCTCCTCATGATCACTAACACGTGTTTAACTCCTGAGTCCATGGTGGTTTGGGATTGCAGTCTGGCTTCTCTGCCTACCCTTCTATTTTATGAGAGACACAGTATAGTGTGATGGTTAAAGCCAAGGAGTCTTGTGTCTTTATTCTTTGGGTAAAAAAAAAATCTCAGTTTTGTACAAAAATTATTCAGGCATGGTGACAGGTGCCTGTAGTCCCAGCTACTAGGGAGGCCGAGGCAGGAGAATCGCTTGAATCCAGGAGGCAGAGGTTGCAGTGAGCCAACATCACACCATTGCACTCCAGCCTGGGGAACAGAGTGAGACTCCATCTTTAAAAGAAAAAAAAAAAAAACTCAATTTTGCTGTTTGCTATCTGTGTGATCTCAGCAAGTTACTCAACCTACCTGGGCTTGAGTTTTTTAATCTGTAAATAGCGATGGGGATGAAAAGAATACTACTTATCTCATGGGTTGCTTTTAAGGATTACATGAGTTTAAACAACAGAAACATTTAGAACAATACCTGGAACATATCAAGCATCTAGCAGCTCTTATTATAATTATTCTTCTGCCTCTTCTAGATCACAGTAGGTGTTTTTCCGGGTTTTATCTAAATATTTATCAATTTTGTGTGTGTGTGTGTGTGAGAGAGAGACAGACAGTCTCACCTTGTCACCTAAGTTGGAATGCAATGGCGCGATCTCTGCTCACTGCAACCTTCGCCTCTTGGGCTCAGGGGATCCTCCCACCTCATCCTCCTGAGTAGGTGGGACTACAGGCTCACACCACCATGCCTGGCTAATGCTTTGTATTTTTGAGATGGGTTTTCACCATGTTGCCCAGGCTGGTCTCGACCTCCTGAGCTCAAGTGATCTGCCCGCCTCAGCCTCCCAAAGTACTAGGGTTACAGGTGTAAGCCACTGTGCCCAGCCTATTTATCAAATTGTAAAACAAAAACAAAATATCTGAAGACATCATAATCTTTATGAGCTGCATACCCTGAACTCAAACCATATTTGATTTGTTCATTTCCTATAACCACTCTAATGTTCAGAGAAATCTCCTCTCTATGTCTGGAATTATTTTTTTCTCATGTATAGTCTCTCTCAGTCGGGTCCATTTTATTCCCATATTCTGTTTGTTACGTGATCCATCGTTACCATTTCATTGTCTTTCTTTTAAATCTGCCTTCTATTGTTTGAAAGCCTCTATTTGTTCACTCAAAAGACATCATTTGTTCACTCATTTGTTAAAGAAATAAGTTGGACATTTATTATATGTAAGAATTTGTAGATTAAAAAATGAAAACAATGTCGTTCATATCCTCAAAAAACTCATACTTTAGCCAGAAAGTCAGATCATTTAAAAATAGCTATTATATAATGCAAAACTATATAGGTGAATAAATAATATTAATAGTAGTTAACATTTCTTGGGTACTTACTACATGTCAGACAGTCTGCAGAGCCTTTTGTTTTCAAATTTATTTTAGTATCTCAATTTATCTTCAAAACATCCTAAAGGTTCATTCTATTATAGCTCCCATTTTGCAGATAAAGAAGTTGAGTTTCAACAAAATTATATGACTTATCAAAGGATATAGCAAGTAAATTCTGGAATTCAACTTTTTAGCAGTGGACATCAGATTTGACTCCCTACACTCAAATTTGACCCCAGCTCCAAAATAGGCCCTTGTTATCATGACATTTCTATCCTCTTTGCTGTTGATTGGTTCAGGAATCAAAGCATAAACTAATCATAGCCTGGCTTTCCTGTAGCAACAGTTATCGTATAAGGAGATGTGACCTAATTTGGGTTACTCACACTGCACAGAATTGGAGAGTGATTTGGAGAAGCACCCTCTGTCACCGACCAGATGCGAATGCTACTACAGCCATCCTACAGACATCAGGAAACCAGGCATACTCAGAAAGGAAGAGTAAACAACAGAAAAATCTTAAGTTCTTGATGACATTATTGAAGTGCTTTATTAACCAATCTTGAAGCACACCCTACCCTGCAACTTGCACTTAGTGAGTCAATAAATTCCTTTATTGTTTAAGGAGTTGAGTTTTCTATTACCTGTTGCCAAAAGTATTCTACGGATATGCTGTTTGGTATCAAGATTCCATGTTCTTGACCACGAGTAAGAAAAGTTTATGAAAAACAGCAGAAACTAACATATGTTTGGTAGATATAGTATACTAGGCATTCTGCTGGGTGCTACATATATAAATGTTAGCTTACGTCATTGCTCAAAACCCTATCAGCAATTTTCTTTATATTTTTGTTATCATCATCAAAAAGACTGAGAAACTAAATGCTTTAGTGGTGAATTAACTTGTGTAAGATTCCAAAGCTAATAAGAAGAGGTTAGATTTTGGCCCTCATTTGTCTGCTTCCATTCCTGGTTTTATATCATATCCAAATCCTAACTCAGACTGCCTGTCACAATGAGGCCTGTGATGGTTTTTTCCTTACCATATGGACTTCAGCAATATTTCTCAGGATTTAACTTATATACTTACAGGAATTTTTTTCTAATATCTTAGAATTCTCTCTAACCCACCATCTTGCTTCCTTTTATACAGACACTAACCCCTTATTTCCTCTCCTTTTGTAATAAGTTTCTTACTGAATATCCCTTTAACTCAGATATATTTAGCTCAGGTTCAGGTTAATTCTAAGAAATGTTGACTTAGAATCAGGATACCTATGCTTTAGTCTTAATTCCACAACTCATTGACTCTATAACCTTGGTGACTATAATAGGATTTTAAAAATAATTTCAACTTTTTTTTTAGATTCAGAAAGTGTACGTACATATTTGTTACATGGGTGTATTGCATGATGCTGAGGTTTGGGATATGAATGGTTCCATCATCCAGGTAGTGAGCATAGTACCCAACAGGTAGTTTTTCAGCCCTTGGTCCTCTTCCTCCCCTCCCACCTCTAGTGGTCCCCAGTGTCTTTTGGTCCCATCTTCGTGTCCATGTGTACCCAGTGCTGAGCTCCCACTTATAAGTGAGAACATGCAGTGTTTGTTTTTCTCTTCCTGTATTAATTTGCTTAGGGTAATGGCCTCCAGCTGCATCCGTGGTGATGATTTCATTCTTTTTATGGCTGTGTAGTATTCCAGGTGCATTTGCACAACATTTTCTTTATTCAATCCACTGTTGATGGGCACCTAGGTTGATTCGATGTCTTGCTATTGTGAATAGTGCTGCGATGAAGTTCATATGTCTTTTTGGTAGAACAATTTATTTTCCTTTGAGTATACACCCAGTAATGAGATTGGTGGGTTAAACGATAGCTTTATTTTAATTCTTTGAAAAAATCTTCAAACTGCTTTCTAAATTAGTGGCTGAACTAATTTACATTCCTACCAACAGTGTACAAGTGTTCCCTTTTCTCAGCAGCTTCGCCACCACTTGTTATTGTCTTTTTAATAATGGCCACTCTGACTTGTGCGAGATGGTACCACATTGTGGTTTTGATTTGTGTTTCTCTGATGATTAGTGATGTGGGGCGCTTTTTCATACGTTTGTTGGCTGCTGCATATCTTCTTTTGAGAAGTGTCTGTTCATGTCCTTTGACGACTTTTTAATTTTTTTAATTTTTCACTTATTGAAATGTTTAAGTTTCTTGTAGATTCTGAATATTAGACCTACGTTAAATGCACAGCTTGAAGATTTATTCTCCTACCCTGTAGGTCATCTGTTTACATTGTTAATAGTTTCCTTTGTGGTACAGAAGCTCTTTAGCTTAATTAGGACCCACTTTTCAATTTCTGTTGTTGTTGCAGTTGTTTTTGAGAGCTTAGTCATAAATTCTTTCCCAAGGC